CCGGCCGGTTCCTTCCTCCTCGCCCGCCTCGCCGCCGCCGCGCCGCCGCCGTCGCCGCTCGGCTCCGCGCAGATCCGTTCTCCCCTTGCCGCGTGCGCGCGCAGTAGCCGCGCGCATGCGCAAGCGCCACACCCCGCCGTGCTCGACATATTTAATTGGTCGGCCACCCCTGCCTCGCGTGCGCGCGAGGAACACGGACGAAGGGAGAGAAAGAGCGCGCGAGAGTGTGTCCACCCCCTTTCCCCTTGGCCGCCGTGTCGACGAGGAATACTCCAGGAAAGAGTCGCGCGGCAACGCCGCCGCCATCGCCGCCGCGGCGACTAGCGATGGCTTCGAACAGGGCCGAAAAGGGCGCATATCGATACCTTCCACTTGAAAGGGACGGTGCGCGCAGGGCCGTTTTTAGGGTTGCTCTCTCGTACGGGTGTAGAACGTACGCTTGATAGAAACGTATTCTAATAATAATCGTAAGCATCTCAGGCAGCGCAAACTAAAAGTAACACTATATACGTCAATTGTTCGTATTTTGGTTCGTGTTGCTTGAACGATCCTACAAATTTTTACACTTAAAACGAAATAAATGTATATATCCGGGGGTTGAAATGAAGACTAGCGAAGATGCCGAGTGCAAAAAGTACAGGCGACGCGAACAGACCTAATATTGTGTGCCTTCCAACGAGCGACACTGTGATCATCTCATCCTTGTTTAACACTGGCGAACAACGCTGTGTCATCTGTGTCGCTTGTTGGAAGGTACCCATTAACTGCTGCAGGCAACAATAGAAATAATGAAATGAGGTTCGGCCTTTTTATTCCTGAACTAGACTGCACTAGAAATCTCTTTATCGCTGTCGTTATAATAGCAAACGTATACCCTATCTCACTTTACGTTCCAAAAGTGTATGTTAGTTCAGCCATAGAAAACAGATCTGTAATGTAACACATGGTGTTGCATAGCAAGCATTGATATTGTTACAACATTGATATCGTTATGTTACTTTCAGTTGATGTTGACTGAAATGCTTCGCTTTGTTTTAACGTGACAGTAGCAATGGCGTTTCACTGGGAAAGCAGCTTTACGAATGTTGTAAGATTCTTTAATACGATTAGTTTGTATATTTAGATTTAGTGAGAGAGGGAAAAACCAATTATATATAATAAAATGTAAAAAAAAGAATCTTACAATAATTGTGCAAAATCTTTTGTGCTGTGAACGTAGCTATATTTTTGTCTGCACCGATGACTTGAATAGTATTATAATTTTTTTTTAGGGATCGCTTTTGAGCATTTTGATATACTATCCCGTCTTTACTGTCTTTGTTACCTGAAATAGAAAGTAAAGATTATGACACCCGACAAAATTTAGGGTCTGGTCTAACCAGACAACCTTCATAGCCGCACCATAAACGTGTACATAAAAAAATTATCACTTTTTATGTGCGTTTTTATAATAGGAATACAATAAATGATTTTTAATTCAATTTTTAAGAATTAGAAAAAGATGAAGTGTAAGTTGAACCAAGATTAAAGTGAATCTACATTGGTAAAAACGAACATTAAAATGCAAATGTAAAAAAAAAGGAACATTTTGGATTTATTATTTTCTTACGTTTCTGTGATAGATATCGATTTGTTTCCTGCTTATATTTTACTACCTTAGTTTCTTTTAAGTGCTATAACTTTACGTTTCGTTTCTTGTGCCATTTCGGACAACGCAAATTAAGCAGTAAAAGCGCGACGTATCAAAATGCATAAGAACAATGCGTTCGACAGAGAAGTAGCTTTGCAATTATTGTAAAATTCTTTAATATGATTGGTTTTGCCAATCCTAGTTAGTTTCTTACTCAATCTAAATGTATGAATTAATGATATTATAAAGAATTTTGTACAAAAGTAACGGGTTGCAAACCTATACACACCGCACAGATTATTCCAGTAATATTTCAGCGATATTGTTGTTAACAGCAAGTGTTGTTAGCAATATAGAAACATCTGAAATGTTGTTACAATTTTGTAGAAACATGGGAAATGTTGCAGCAATGTTGCTGCAAACTTCTGTGCTGTATGGGAAGTTGCTTTCTCTTAAACGCACCGGCTACTCTTTCCTCAAGGACGAGAGAAAGGGAAAGAAAGTAGTACATACAGGATAGCTTTGTCTAACAATACAACAAAATTTACTTCTCGACAATAAAAATCGTGTTTCGCCGTTTTACGCGCGCATTGACGACGGTATTCATGTTGTATATTTAAGACCATGTTAAGTACAGTCTTAAGTTATCACTCACAGAGCCGTACTAGCATCTGAGACATTACCTAAGTCGCTATTAACCCCTTCAGACCTGAATTTTATGAAATCATGTTGAAAAAAATCTTTTATACTTAATTCAAGGGCACTTTAATTTATACAAAAAAAATTAGTTTTTTCGTTATTTCGACTTATTTCCAAAAAATACATCATCATGTACATTTGATCTCAAATTTTTGGTCATCAATCAACATCCAATAGAACTAAATGGCTTCAACAGATGTCTTCAAAATTTGATGAAAATTGCAATGTACACAGAGTCTGAAGGGGTTAAACTATAAGAACGACCTATATAAATACCGACCTACATGTGAAATTAGTGAAACGCGACTACGACCCAGGGTGCGGGATCTCTAATCGCGCTCCTGAGACCATCGTTCTATCGACCGAGTGCGGAGATCGTTCTCGAGTGCATCGGACGAGTGCCTCGGGGATTCGAAAATCGGATCGGTCCCATCGCTTGCGCGTCCCGGGCCGCGCCGATGCAACGCGTGCGCGTCAGCGTTTTCGCACGCGCGAGCGAAAACGTGGCAACGCCGCGTGTCAAGCGCGGCGCAACAACGAACCCCTTTTCACGGGTTACTTTTTTTCCATTCTCTCTCTCTCTCTCTCTCTCTCTCTCTCTCCGGCCGATGGACTCTATTTGGAAAACTACTTGCCGGAACTCGCGGAGCGCAAACTCGGCCCGGTCAGCTCCGGTGCTCTCTCTCTCTCGTTCTCTTTTTTATTCTCTCTTCCTATTCATCTCCGTTTCCTCCTCTTTCTTTTTCTCGGCCATCGCCCAGTTGGAGTACCGTTGGAGTACCGTTTCGAGATTGTTAAGCCTAGAGATTGAAATTGCACCCTCGTGTGCGCCGCTTCGCCTCGGAATTATCGATAGACTGGGAGACGGTGGACGTGCGCGCGATCGATAGGTGCGCGACACCCTTCCGATAGGACGTTTAAACCCTTTGCGGTCTGGCGTCCGTCGTGACGTGCCAATCCCCCTCTGAGAATTCTACGCGCGTCTCTTTTTTTTCCTTTTGCTCTTTCGATATACCAGGAAAACGGCGAGCGCCATGTAATTCGCGTGGGAAAGACTCACGTTTTTCTTTTCTGAAACGTTACGAACGCGCCGAGCGGCGGATCGAATATCGCGGGCGTTTCGTAACGAGAGGGTTAACGACCGTGAAAATGAGGAGGGAAAAACGGAGCGTCGCCTCTCCCGACTTTTGCCGTCACGCCGAAAGCGGAAAACCGCGAACGGTAATCCTGGCAAAGATAAAAGTTGGAGCGTACCGTGTAAGTTGATTACGCTTCTTTTAACCCCTCGTGATCATTCGGAGTCCACTGGACTTTAGAAAAGTTTGAGAGGATCCGTATCTTTAATAATAATTATATATTTCTGTACTAAATAAATACTTTTTTGTGCAAAAATTTCACTTTTTTTTTTTCAAAAACTGACATTTATTTCTTATATAAATTTTAAAACGCAAACTGCGACACTATTTTTTTCTGAAAATGCTATCTTTCTGTAGAATATAACCACAAATTTTTATAAAAGAATTAAAAATGAACAAATTTATATTTAAAAAAATAACTTTTTTTTACATTTTTACTTTCACGATATTTTTTTTAAAGTTATAATTATAACTTTTACGAAGCCGCTATATTTCTCATTTCTACAATGGCTATATTCTGTAACTTTTTTTGCTCCAAAGAATATGAAAACTGTGAATACACGGCAACCAATTAAATGCATTCAATGTCATTTTGCTCCAAGAATGTGATCACGAAAGATTAAGCTTTATGTGGACAGAAATAAAATTGCAAAGCATATTTGAACAACTCGGTTACACATTGAAAAAAAATTGTTCATTTAACTGAATTAATTCAGTCGTCTTTACTTCTTTTGTTGGAGAATATATGTATTTAAGCCAAACATATATATATTTGGTTTAAATATATACATTTTTCAATAAATAGAAATTTCTAATTGTATAGATGAATATACGTTTTGTTGTCCCAATTTTCGTTTTCTAGAAGCTTTGTTTATATTGTAAGCTCATTGTATAATTGCATAAGCTTATGGTATACACTGAGGAAAATGTTCAGGAGATAAACCAACAAAAGATTATAACCAGAAAAGCATTGATGACGCTTAACAAAATTTTCGGTTATCGTAACCAGAAATTCTGTTTTGTCTCACCAAAATGCCATTCTGGTTGGATCTTTTTGTTAATTAAACCAAAACATTTTTCTTTATGTGTTTATAAATAATCGTATAGTTATAAAAAAATGATTAATCACAGAGTCCGGAGTATAAGAAGAATATTCGATTGTGGTTGGACAATTCTTACAGCTACAACCACTTACAACTACTTACGCAATTAAATAGAATGGATTTTAATCTCCCCTTACACTCGACTTACACTTCGATTTTTATTTTTACCAGGGAACTCACGCGAGATTATTTTTCATATCGTGTTTTGGGGGGTCGGGCGAACGCCGTCATGGGACGAAAAGAGATCGATATACGAGTGGCGATTCGGGGTAACTGTGACGTCGGGTAATTAACCAGTTGCCTCTGGGCAACGTTATATCGAGCAGCGCGCAATCGAGCCATTGTTGCGGCCAGATACGGAATATTATGAAAGAGGGAGGGGGAGCTAGAGGGAAATGGATTTTCTCGAATAACGAAAATTCCAGATAAAACTTGCATGGTTACCGTTAAAGAGACGCAGCCCTGTTTGTAAATGCACTTTCTATTAGCGGCAGATAATTTCACCCGAGGTTCGATATTAATTTTCAAACGAGAAAACAGACATAAAGCAAAAACTATGGAAAAAAAAATTAAATTACTTATTGATTTTCCTGTATCGACAACTAATCAATGTGTATAGAAACTATTGCTGCTCGAAGAACTTTTTTTATGAATGAACTGATGAATTAGTTTTTGATAACACACACATACATTTTAGATAAAATTTTTTTCTCTAATCTTCTTTCTTCGGTAATGACTCTTCAACAGACAATTTGGCTGATAATAATCGATAATCGAATAGATAAATGCAGAATTGTACGTATAATTATTAATTGTTTATAGAAGTGATACACTCTTTAAATTTTTTGGAGGTCTCATTCTAAAGAATGAAAATTAAAGTTTTAAAAAAAATCCCTCAATTTTTAAGTTTTAAGAGTGAGACTTCATTTTTTAGAATGTGATTTACTCTGAAAGTTTTAAAGATCAAAGGTTAATTAATTTCGTCAGAAAGTTTCCACATTTTTTTTCGTTCTCGGTAACACTTCGGATTGGACTTCTTTTTCTAATTATACAGCATCGTAGGGATCTAGCTGTTAGCATAATAGGATATATTACAGGTATCTTATCGATGCCTGGAAACAGAGACAACATCCTGTCCAAGTAATCAAATAAGGCAAAGAAGTGTCGTATTATATACAAAGTCATCGCGAGGT